TTCGTGCCAGAGCCAGCAGAAGGTTGCCAAGTGAGACGGCCAGACTTTCTGAAAGTAGGGTTTTCGGTCTGATCGGACATTTGAAGGTGGAGGGAATCTGTAGACCGGCAATTCTGATAAAAGTAGAGAAGCGGCAAGCTTGCAGTAGGGCCATGGTCGCTCGTAAGACGTGCTAAGACAAACCCCAATAAAATTTGGACATATAACCTATTTTAAGAGGGCTTATCCGAGGTTGGGCTGAGGGAATCGAGTGCAGAGAATCGCGATTCGGGTGGGCGGTGCTCCTCCAGACTCGCACCGGCGATTCGACGCGATTCTGCCAGAATCGCGGATTCCCCCCTTCTCGAATCGTCTCCCGAATCGTTCCCTCGAATCGTCCACCGAATCGCCATCTTTGACTACCCCTATTGAGTCCTGTCCAACGAATCTACAGCTAGGAGTCCAGTGTATAGTACGCGATTCTTCGAATCGCAGAGAACAACGTCTGCCAACGCCCACATACCTCATTGTTAGTATTTGGCTTCTGTGGGACGACGAGGTCTTGCAGCTATCGTAGATACTCGAGTCCTTGCGGTATGCGACACCATTTACGAGTTAGCAACATACGCACCCCCTAAACGAGCATTGCAAAGCATTCTGAGTCATTCATTGAAGGATATCGTAGAGGAGCGGGAACAGCCCATGAAATCCCCGGAGTTTGTCAATTTGGCCGAAACGACGGGAATCGGAGAGAACACGAAAGTGATCGCGTGCAATTTTGCCGCACAGTTCAACGCCAAAGTGGTGGAATAGATGACCGCATAAGACATGGATGATTACGGCGACGTCAAGAAGCAGTGGTACATGAAGATGTCGAGCATTGCAGCAGTAGTAAAAAGCGAAGGGGAGGAGCGGTCGACGTCTTCTTCGGTGTCACGCAGTCCGATAATTCATTTGCTCTAGCTGATGTAAGCGGCTCTCGCGTTGCTTTCCCGCCCATGGGAACGGTTGTTGGCGCCTGCGTACTTACTGAGTACTCAGTACTGAGTACTGAGGGTCGACGCTCGAGATGGCGGTACCTTATGCCACCGCACCTTCTTGTGCTCCCCGGTCTGCCTCCATTTCATCACTCTTGAGTTTTGCTACGTGCTTTTCTGTCTTAATTGCTATCTGTATTTCTAGGAGACAACCGGCGGCCGTACTCTTCCCGAGAACCCGTCATGGATCAAGCTCCTGCGTAGCGATGAAATTGCCGTTGCACTGCCCAAGAACATGAAGGTCGTGGACAGCGAGGTTCAAGTGAACTACATGAGGCCTGTGTACGTGGATGATAGCCTCTCAATCATGTGGCGTGGTGCAGTAGGCTCCCAGCTATCCATCCGTATGCAGCTTCCGGGTGAGCATAGCCGAAGCATATCAGACTTTCACACTGATAATGTTCCCGGTCACTGTCATCAGAGTGCCCAAAGTATGTCTTGAAGAGTTTTTTTTGAAGGATACCAGCTGTATGATCACAATAAGGGCCCGGCCAATGCGCCGCGACACGACTCATATCTCTGCGGTATGTGGGTAAACTTGTTCGTCCTAAGTCGTCCGGAGCACCGCCACTTGGCATAAAAGGTGCCAAGGATGAGTCAACAATCCTTGTTTAGTGAGGTCACATGTGGAGATATCTCATATGCATATTATACGCTTGTTCTGTATGAGACCAATTGTGAAGGAATACCTCCGCACGGCGGTAGGCCTACATCGCACGCATCACTGCGGCAGATGTGCCGTACTGAACAAATGCCTCTTCTACCTGTACTGGGCAGATAGTCCTCAGAATTCGTGGTACACGCCTGTTCTCATCTCGTCACTGTGTCATTTCCTTGACTCTGGCTGTTCTCTAGTTATATCTTCATCAAATATTGCCAGGGTCCACAATTATAAACCATTTCCGCTCAGCGAACGACTTCATACCGCACGCCTCATGGTTGATCCAGGACGAGACCATGAATCGTGCAGACTGCCTGTGCAAGTACTGCACCAAACAGCCGCAACGCATCATCTCAGACAATACGGGTCTTTCCCAGGGGCGATCAACGTCTGTCGCTGGTAGGCTACCATCCCGCACCACCCGGCCCCGTCCAGAGCCACACGAGCTTTGTGGCCTCCAACAACGGCGTACGCCAGTAGTGAAACCTTGCGCTGCCGCCCGCCGCGCTCCAACGCCACCAAAGACGCTAGTCGAGCCGCATCAATACATTTCTCAATTTCTCCCGAACGAGACCTCGACATTCGCGCTGGCTCTGTGAAGCTCTGATATCCTCTAACCAGGCTAAAGCTTCAACGACCGCGTACTGTGCTGACCCTCTGCCTACTAAGTCTACGGTCGCTATCCGTCCATAAAATGGAACTAGGGAATATTAATCACCGTCGCATGAAAAGCAGGCATGGAAATACATGTGGCCTTGACCATGTCACGGTATGCGTCTTAGTTTCCGTCCGCTGTAGAATCATCTGAGGTGTGAATCTGAATAACAGGGTTACGTGCCTAGGAAATCCTGGGCTTCGTGCACTACCCAAACGCGGCTAACGTAATTGAGAATTGCCTGATCCAGCCTTGGGTACGCGGCAAGAACGGTTAGACAAGCCAGATCTCTTCTCCAAGGCTCAGGTATACGTATGAATGTATCGCGAGAGGCTATATTTGCTTTACACTGGATCCAAATACACTAGTGTGGTGTCCAGGTATGTAACCCAACGTCGGACCGATAAATAACATGTATGTTCTACGTGCTAACGCTCAGTGAACTCTTCATAGAAGAAAGACAACTGGAATCTCTGATCTGACCGAACGTCCGTCTATGGGAGGTCATTCTAAGTTTTCTCGCGGATCATGAACGAACTCCTGGGTTCGCAAAACCTTGATCTGGATTGCGTTGTCTCTCGAGCCCTTGGGGGTTGTCTTGCCAATCCTAGAGCTGGGCTAGAAGGTCACGAGATTTAGCACACTATATCTGCTCCTAGAATGAAGTGAACCAACCTGTCTCGCTCTCGAAGTTGCTGAAAGCTCCATGTCACTCGAAACGTCGGGCATGAAGCTTGCTCCGAACGCCGTGGTATCAATGTATGCATGTTGATACTGAGCCGATAGGGATTGTCGAGAATTCAGTCTATGACAGTGGTGCAGCAATTCTCAGATGAGCTCGTGTCGCTGTCGTTGCAGTGCTCCTTGACTTACGCTGCGAGGACCGAGTTTGAATATACTGTTCAATCTGAAGTGAGCCTACAACATGGACGGGCTCGCAAACATACTTACGCTTGATTCCTATAATTGTAGCCCCACAGTAGATCTGGCTGTCTGGAAGAGCGATTGCCTGGGGATGCGATGATGTGATTTTGATCTACTGTTTGTTTACGAGGCCTTACCGCAATGAGACTAGTAACATTGTATAGACTGCGGCAATGAGTTGTTATTTCGCGAAAATATATACTCGCTGATGCCGTATACGCACCCAGTGACCAAACCTAACGCGGTTACTGCTCAGCAATTCATCCTCAATATGTAAAATCACCAGTCTGAGGAGACTACCTGTGCTGACGGTGTATAAAATCAGGGTGTTGATTATATCATTCGTACTGTCCCACGAGTGAGCATATGACCAACAATGGCAGGACCAATGAGACTCACATCCTAACACCCGTGCGGCTGCGTCGGAGTGTGTAGATGAGCACTCCAGCTGTGAGGAAATCGGAAACAGCGGAGACCGCATTGTGTACAGTTATCAGCCACTTAGATGCTAGGGCGTTAGACACCTAGGTAGTGTAAGCTGAGAAGCTACCCACCACGTATTTGGGCGAGTATGCGAGCCATGTTCTGACTTTGAACCTGAAATAATCTACGGTTAGGGCAGCAGGCTGATGAAGAGTAATGGGGGATTATACATGTATACAGATATCACTGATAGAGTGAATCTCGCAAGATCAGGCCAGCACATCTGAAGGGGAGTTGAGAGCTCACGGTAGCACATTACTAGCATTGACTATAGGGTCAGCATATAACCACCGAGATACGGGGCGTTGAACTTACCAAGCTCCACGGCATGGAATATTGACTAGCTCTCTCAGTTTGTTGGTTCATGAGGCTAGTTGTGAAACAATAGTGGACACTCACCGCCGCTCCCACGACCACTCGGTACTGACGACTAACTGGTTATTGCTTAGTAAGACTACATACAAAGGAATACAACAAAACTCACGGAGCCATGCCCTTTGCAAGAAGAAGCTAGCACAGCAGGGAAGAGGTGTTAATTTACTCATGCGTTGACGATCTCGGCGAAGACCAACTATTGGGTCAAAACAATCAAACTACTCTGTAGTAAGGGCAAGTCAGCAAGGCCATGATACATATCATCAGTTGAGGCTTACTCCGACAATCGCGAGAATCTTCCCCCCATATTAACAGAAGAACGGGACAGGAAGCCTGACAGAGAGACATACCGGGCAAGACCTGTTTGTATGACAGATGAAATGGCACATTTTTGTATCAGCGACCAGACGACTCACCAAGGTATCATATTCAAACGAACCACGTTGTCATGACTGGTTATTCCGTAGTACCAACTGATGAAAGTGGTCGCGTCTAGCTTCAATGGTGCCTTAGCTAAGCACGGCAGTAGAACTTGCCAAATGTGCATGGTGAGGAAACTGCAGACCGTTTCCAACACTCTGAACAATATCTCAGCCAGACGAGGCGAGGGTGTGAGAAAGACCTCAAACATACACGATGACAGCCACCTCATCGAAGCAGATAGTTTGAGCGGCAAAAGAAATTCTGATCAATATAATAGCGGCTTACATAGACCTTAATCCATGTTTTGTCATGTGGGTATTCCTTGTAGTATTGGAATGATTGATGCAAAGCGACCCCGTACAATCTGGAACATCCTTGAGTGACGCACTGACGTTTCCACAAGATGTTCGCAAAACATACATCAGCGACAGATAAGTCCCAATGAGGAGGGCTCCGAAAGTATCATCCAAAGAGAGCGGCGAAGACATGGGTCCAGCGATACCGAGTAGTTCGACCACGCACCACCATATAAATACTCCATACTTGCTGGATCATGTTCCGATCATCGCCGCTGATGTCGGGAAGTATAAGGTCACGTCTACCAGATGGAGGATGTACACATATAATTCCTGTTACATAGTTCAATACATTCCAATGGGACCAACTCGAACACCTCTAGATTTGGCCAGCAAACATCCCTCCGCCCCGCCGCGATCCCGCAGATGTCCCATCGGCGCCGATAGCCATAGAAGTCATAGAAGCAAGCTGACAGATATCCAGAAGGCCCACAAGTGAACCAACTACCATAAATGATCATACAGTGCTCCAACAGTCAACCACATTTCCGCAGAGATCACTGGAGTGTTAGAGGTCCTAGTAAAACGTCCATCTGAAACACCTTCCCTGCCAGCTGGAACTCCCCTCCGGGACTTGCATTTAGTGGACTCGAGTCCTTTCTAGTGGCCAGGTAACACCTCCATGGCGGCCCGTCTCACATTCGCGTAATGCCCGCAGTCCTCTATCACGATACATGTTCATGCTGTGATCCCGTCAGCTTGATCAGCTTCTCGAAGCATATTCGTTAGATGACCAGGGCCACCGGAATCGCAATGAGAACACCTATCGCTACACATAGACGAGATTGTGAGAAGAATGCATGTTCCGCTTGACTTAATAGTGGCCGAGATGCAAGAGAGTTCCCTTAAATTGTAGGTAGACGTTCAGCATCCCCTCTCCCTGTGCAAGATTGAACTGCCCTGGCTGATTCTTCTCGGATTCATCTGCCCACTGGCAGCGATCCCTCTGCTGAATCATTATCATGGCAAGACTGACAGCAGTTCCGCACGGCCTCAGTGGCCATGAGACCGTGAAGGAACATCTGCCCAGCCATCATATTCAGCACCAAGGTGTCGCATGCCAACAGATCACGCTTCAGGGGGTGAGCACATGCAAGAGAATGCTCACTTCAGGTCGTTGCAGCGTAGCAAACATGATGCAGCGATTAAGATAAAGAGGAGGATATAGATGCAGGAAGCATTGATGTACCCTCCCGATCAACTTCAGCCTGCCTCCCGATGAAAAGATACTCCAGTTTCGTTGGAGGTTTCAGAGAGAAATGTCAATACCCACAGGGGCAAAGACTCGGGTATTGAGTGATCATCATGTCTCCATAAAAGGGCCCAAACGGCGAGAGGCTACCCCCTCAACCTCGTCTTCAAGGACGAGCAGTCGTAAATAGGGAGACCACGCTATAATGGATAGGACGGCGGTACAACATCAAGCCCGCCGTCTACGGTCAGCGGAGGCTACACCGCTACACATTGCGCCGATAGATTTCAGGTGGGAAGCGGCGGCGGCTGGAAAGTCAAGGAACACCAACTGGATTCCACGGGCTGAGAAGTAAGGTAGATAGAAAGCCAATATAGCACCATGCGCCCAGTACTGCATGGCTGAGAAGCCTTGCAGTACAATGAGACGCTCACAAATATGGGGCAGTTGCTGCCATGCGATGCAACGATACACGAAGACAGGTTCAAGAGCCCACAAATCGGAAGATTGCCCGTGTGTAACGTTTGACTTTTAACCCCCACCAGCGATCGCACTGGCGCCTACCCCTCCACCAACCGAGCTGATGGTATCCCGTCGCCCTAGTGGTGGATTCCAGCTGATTTTTCAGCTGGTCAAAACGAATCCCTCTCCTCCCGGATTCCAGCCGCCTTTCCATCGGCATCCATCGGCGCTGCTTTCCAGCTGGAATCGTTGCGCGGGATGTTTCGCAGTGTATAGCTAACGCCTGTAGCCGACTTGCCGGATTAGGCGAATCGGGTGATTGATGCGAAGGGCGCTTAAGTGGGCCAGCACTAGCAGTCCACCGAGTTCAGTGTCTCATATCGTCAGACTGGGCTCCTCCGGCGTAAAGCACCGCGGCATCTGTTCCTCCTCCACGACCCTTCGAATTTCAGGATCTGTTTCTTCAGTTCCGTTTGCTCTGCTTCCTTTTCTGATAGTCCAGGAACTCAGCCATGAAGATCTACTCGCTCGCCGTCGTCCTTGCGCCTCCCAACAAGTCCGCTGTAGTTTTGAGCAGCGCGTCCGACCTCTCGTCCTTCTCGTTCTACCAGCGAGGCTCCATCACAGAGTTTATGTCCTTCTTCACGAAGACCGTCGCGGAGCGGACACCACAAGGACAGCGACAGAGCATCCAGGAGAACGTGTACACCGCGCACATCTACAACCGTGGGGGCGCCGAGCAGCTCGCAGGTTCGTCTCGTTGTTCACGGATGAATGTCAGGCAGGCGCGATGACTCAGCATGCTGGTATGGTGTTTAGCTGTATTGATCGCAGATCAAGAGTATCCCGTTCGGCCTGCGTTCTCGCTCCTGACGAAACTGCTCGACGACTTCATCGCCAAGGTTCCCCAGGCGTCCTTTAACACTCCCGCCGCCATTTCCTTCCCCGAAATAAATACCTATCTGCAGAAGTATCAGGATCCCAGGCAGGCTGATGCGATTATGAAGGTTCAACAGGAACTTGATGAGACGAAGATTATCTTGGTGCGTTCCTCCCGCGGTCGCTTACCAGCGCAACGACTGACTAGCACGTCTTTCTGGCCTTGTTTTGGGATCGCAGCACAAGACGATCGAGTCGGTGTTGCAGCGAGGGGAGAAGATCAACGATCTAGTGGACCGGTCGAACGAGCTGTCCATGCAGAGTAAGATGTTTTATAAGACAGCCAAGAAGGTGCGCAGTGCTTGCTCATGTCATTTGACCTCGATACTCATCGCTCCACCTATAGCAAAACTCCTGCTGCCTCATCATGTAGAGGACATGCTACCAATTGTTCTCTGGTCAAGAGATGATGGTCATGACCCACTATTGCACGCCCCGCATCCCCCGACATCACATGGACCGCCCCGTTTGCGCCTTTCGACGTAGATGCTCTGCTCGCTCTGTATTAGTATGTCACCGTTCCCGACCGTTCTTGACCGTTCTTGTCGGCATTATACCAGACCTGTCTATCGTTCGCGCGCCGGACAAGAGCAAGTCGCACTGCAACTTTTCACTGCAAGGAATTGGCTAACAGCCCGCCGCCTACGGAGAACTTCCTGCACAGATTAGCTGCAGTATATTTTTTCCCCGTTAGCGAGAATGAGCATAACGCGGTCCCGGTGAGTCTCTCGTCAAATTCCATGTATAAGTGTACGCGCTCTCGTTTCCTCATGAAAGGCATACATAATGTATATGTGCTCGGAACTATGGCAGATGCGAACCTGCCATTTCTGATCACGCCCACGGGATTGCCTCTCACTAAACGAAGACCAGTGGCATCTACGATCGCCCCACTGATTGTTGGACGCTCGTGGGGCTTTGTAACCAGACAAATTGAGACAGCGATCACTTCAATAATACAAGTCAAGAGCATGGGTGGGGGCCCGAGATACTGTCTTACTCAAAGAATTTAGTTGTGGCTTCCGAGCAGCTCAGACTTCAGTATGTCTGCTGCCTGTCGAATGGTTAGCGTCTTAGTACTCCAAGAGCACTCGAGACACAATGAGGCAACATACCTGCTCGCCGATCGCGTACGCCACCGATTGCGTGTGACAGACGAACTCCTACAGCGAGTGTCAGACATGGATATGACAATAAGGAAACGTAATCTTCCTACCATGGGCAGCACGGACAAGTCGACCTGCTCAGGCCCGTGAATAAGCGGTAAATGCCGGGAACGAAAGGCGTACTCACAACACGGAGATTGCGCGTCCCATACACCGTCAACTTCGAGTCCACAACGCCCCCATCCTCGCGCAGCATCATTGCGGCCGTTCCGACCGGGTGGTACACCTGTCGACAATTCTCCCTAATGTACTCAACGAGTCCTTCCCTCCCCTTGGCCAACGTCTCCGGCCTCGGCATTATCTGTTCCTTTACGAAACGCTTCAGCGGCTCGGTCTCTAGGACCTTGAGCATGTACTGCAGGACGTGGACGTAGAGGTCGAGGTCGGCCTCGTTCCCGAAGTAGTTCGGGTCGATGCGCGGGGGCGCCAGGGGGTTAGCAGACGCGATGTGCACCGTACCGCGGGAGAGCGCGCGGGAGAGCGCGCAGACGAGGGAGAGATAGCGCGCGCCGGGCTTTGCCGGGGGCGCGGTCAGCATGCGCTGATAGCCCGTGAACATGAGCAGTCTGCGTACAGATAGTAACAGAGGTTAATAACACATGTCGTTGAGACGGAGACGCAGGCAGAGATGGGGAAGTGGGTGACGCACTCGGCCTGCGGCTGCTCCTTGTCGTCGAACAGTTGGCGATGGACAGCGTACTGCTTCTCGAGGCCGGAACGCAGCGACGGAAGGACCTTGGCTAGTGTGTTGGTGCAATGAGTGTCCGCGTGCGCCCGCCATTGCGCAACGTCCTCCGGGGAACCGAGGGCGTCCGCGGAGAGGAAGACGAATGCTTGGGCGGGGATGGTAGCGAAAAGCCCCTTGCCTTGTTTGCTGATCATGAGAGGGAGCATCGCATCAGACGTCACGCCAGGACTGTTACTCAGACATCAGCACTTACTACAGCTCCTCTTGGGTTCTAGCAAACTCTGGATTCGCGAGGTCGTCCAATGTAGGCTCGTCGACGTCGAGTTCGGCCATGGTCGTCATCCCGATGTGGTCCTCTGTGGGTAAGCGTCATGAGCTGGGAGAGAACATGAAGCTTTCATGATAGGGCTCACGGAGATTCTCTCCTACCCCAGGGAGGTCTATTCTCACGTCGATGCCGTGCTGGGCGAGGATGTCAGGGTTGCCGATCCCGGATAGCTCCAGGAGTTGCGGGGTCTGGAACGAGCCTGCCGCCAATGTCAGGTCCGATCCATCCCGCACCTGTGGAACCTGCTTACCTGCCGCGAGAACGACGTCCCTGCGGACGTTCTCAAGGCGGTTGGTCGTGCCATCTTTGACAAATTCTACGCCGATGGCTTTCTGCAAGGGTCCATCTTGCTCGAGAATCACCTACACAAACTATCAAGAGCGGCTCGGCAGAAGCTGGAGAGAGACCTGCCTTTGTTACATGCGCACCTGTAAGCACCAGCAGATTCTTGCGGCTCAGGTTCGGTTCGAGGTATGCGTTGGCCGCGTGAGAGCGTTTGGCGGTGGTCGCGTCGATGGACAGGAATGACATGACACTTCCGTCGTTCTTACCGCTTCCCTGAACATATTGCGTGAACGTGCTTCGTCTTCACTGAGTGTTTGCCTATACATACCGTGTCTGGGTTGCGCGGAACGCCGAATGTTTGCACAGTGTCGTACAATGCTGCGTGGAGCTCGTAGAATGTTGGGCTGAATGACTTCTTGATGGGGCCTTCATGCACGCCATCGATGACTACGTATGGACGCAGGCATGCGGAACATCTCACCATTTGTGCCGTGATTGTTGGGGTCCGGGTCAGCAGCGAACTTGATAGCATCGGCGTGGGATAGCTTTGTAGGCTGAAGGGTCTCGCTCTGCGCGAGGCGAGCGTTCGTCAGCAGATGCTTTTTGGCGATGTTGTGGCAGCACACCTTTTTCATGTAGTGCAGCATCGTGTCCCAGTTCCATCCCTCAATACCAAGGACGCTCTCTAACGCGTCCACTTCGGCCTTGGAGGGGCGGAACATTCCTGTGAAGTTGATCTACGGAGGGGTCACGCTACCGCCGAACCTGAATAGCTCGGTGTGCGTACCAGGGACGTCCCGCCAAGGCCCTTTCCTCTGGGTTGACGAACGGTTCTGTTATTTGCATTGGGTTGGGGAACGCAAGTAAAGGACCAGTCGTATTTGGGATTGCCTAGTGCGCGGCCGATGTAGCCTGCCAGTGGACCACCATGTAAATCAAGCAATTGTAGTGGCTAAGCGATAGACGTCAGGACGTACCTGGAATATCAATCTCGGGAGCGGACGCATGATGCTCTCCGGCTTCGAGGACGGCAACGGTGATATCTCCATTCTCGGAGAGCCTACGCGGGGTCAGCTATGCCTCAACCGAGGAGGCAAGAAGTACATACCGGGATGCTAAGGCCAAGCCAGAGGTACCTCCACCAACGATGAGATAATCGAGAGAGCGTGATGCTAGTTCTTCGTACGACACTACTGGCATTGTGAGTAAAGCCTAAGCTCTAAGTACGAGACAAGCTGGAGACAGACTCCTTTAAGAGAGTTCCTCGGAGTGAATGGGGCAGGAGGGCGTGCTCATGACTTCCGCCATCGCGTTCTATCTTCGCGCGCGAGACATATTACGTGGAATGCGGACTAGTTCTCCGTGTATGTAGTACTCGTCCTCCGGATGCCAAAGAACCTGCGGAAGGCCGCTGAAGATAAGCTGGAAGCCGCAGCGGGAATGCACGCTCCTTTTGCGGTATATACGCTGTGTGGGCTTGTCATACTGAGGATTGGCGCCGCTCGATGTGGGCAGAGCTGCCGGTGAGTTGGAAAAGCCGTCTGATACTGCATGAAGCTGAAAGATGGCGAAGACATGGGGCAGCTTCTTGGATTCCAGGACTCGCTGGGGCGTGGGAACGCTCAGTGCAGCTGGGAGACACGTGTTGCCTTTCGGCGCTTCAGCGCTTTGGCCTCTCCTACAGCGTTCGCGCGGTTCTAAGACGTTCCTTCATTGTCCCTGACTCGGACAACAGGCATTCATGTCTTGTCAGTTTCTGCACGCACAGAAGGTGTGTAGCTCAATTTGAACCTTCCTCGAAAGATTACAGTTGTTTTCTTGTGACAGGTAAGTCCCAGCCTGAGCCTCAGCGAGCACAACTTGTCTGTCCACATTCCGTCCAAGGTCATTCAGCATGCCTCGTTCTCCAAGGTCTGTGATTCATGCACATAAAAAGTACCACAAGAGACGATGAGATTCTTTATCCCAGAGCTACGATGGGCCGCTTCACTCTCCAGCCAGTGAGTATCTCTGAAGAGCTCTGCGAACGGAACTGATCTCCTTCTATGGCAGCCCCTCATGCGTGCGACGTTACGAGCGAGCGAAAAGAACCCCAGAATCTCCTCTCTTCCTCTAGGATTACCATATGACTGTCCAACTTCCAAAAATGCTGATTGGTTCCCGTTGATTTGCTGGATCGACGACCCTTGCACCGGGAATTCCTGTTGCAAAATCTATTGAAGACCCATTCGGGGTACTGCACGCAGTCCGATCCACAGTGATGTGATCCTACCGCCACCGAAGAGAACCGCAGAGCAGCTTGAACGAGGCGCACCCCATCATGCTGCGTCCCATCAAACAGACACGCGCAGTGGATATAAAAAACTTCAGGGCGTCGCCGAAAAGTGGTTACCTCGCCCCACGAACCACTAGCTTGTATCGTCGTGCTCTATATACCGTGTACCTCATGTCGACGATTACTGTGACGATCCCGACGGATCTAGGATCAATGTGAGTACATTGCTACGGCCTTCAGACTATTCGCTAACTCATTCATTTAGCGCAGCGCCTGTGGTATGCGTCGTGTCTGCCTTGCGCATCAGCAGATTCTGATATTCGCATGAAGTTACTGGGAGCACTGCTCAACTGGGCGTTGTATGGTGTACTCAGCGTTCAAGTCTGTTCGTACCTTTAGCAGTCCATATAGAACATGACTCGACGGCTGACAACTTATGTGCACCGACAGATCTCTACTACTTGTCCTTCCCTAAGGACGGATGGATCCCACGGTGCCTGGTCTACGGAATATGGACCTTGGACACCGTCCAGACTATCATCGTGACGAACGACGTCTACATCGCGTATGCAAAACGCTATGGGCAATTGGAGGTTCTCGGTGCGATGCAGAACGAATGGCTGGCAGTCCCGGTGTTCAGCGGAGTTGGTAGGTCCCAGCGACCACGTTTGCCTGACGCCAGATCTGACGCTTGTTCTACCTGGTCAGTGAGCTGCACCGTTCAATTGTACTATGCATACCGCATCGGGATTCTCTCTCGCTCACGGACACTGCAGGGTGTCATATCCGTCGTAAGAATATAGACGTGTGACCATGATGCCTACTGACTCGCGCGCTGAAAGCTGGCGTTGACACAAGGTACAGCAGCGATTGTCACGGGCGCACAGGCGAAGATTATTGGAAGCTTTGCGGGTCTGCAGCAGAAAGCAGCCGTGAGCTGTGGAGTATGTCCAATCCCTCATGAGTAGTCGCTGTATGTCCTCACGTGGGTTTGGGCACAATAGCTCTGGCTCTCTGGGAGTGCTTTGTGCGACATCATCATCGCTTCGTTCATGGCGTATCTGGTGGGTTCCGTCCTTCTTGCACGGTGCTTTGCTCTGAGCTATACATCATTCATGTTACAGTTGTTGCGGAACGACGTGAGGTCGGCGCAAACGCACGCTATAATCAACCGGCTGGTCCGTCTCGTCGTAGAAACCGGCACGCTCACTGGTAAGCCCTGGCCACAGAGTTTTCGTCGTTGATTATCTCTTGAGCTGCCTCCACCTCGACAGCCGTGGCCGCAACCATCGACATCGTCCTCTACTTTTCTGAACCGGACACGGATTACCATAGCTGTATCGCCACGATCCTCGCGAAGCTCTACTCAAACTCGCTGCTCGTCATTTTCAACAGCTGGATACGCATCGTCGGAGGACGCATCAACCCGTCGGCTAGCGTGGTCGTGGGCTTCCCAAGGAGCGGATGGCCGTCCACGACTTCCCAGACCGAAGTCGGCCCGCCGATGGAATACAAGGTTCACACTACTACCTACACGACGACGCTTGGCGATGCGCAGCCTGAGGACCACCGATGGTCTGATGCTATACAGCTCGAAGAGCAGGTAGGCACTCGGCGGAGCAGCGTCAGCAAGCGGACGTGTTGACGATGCATCTTTTTCAGCATCCGGGACCCAGCGACTTTCCGGGCAAGGGCAAGCATGCTTCCGAATGAGCGAAGGCGGCCAGCTGATGATCGGTGGTTGTTGCAATCGAGCTGTCCCCCACGCTGTCGGTCTCAAGTTGGCCGTGATACGTAGATTATAACTTCCAGATGGACCTAAGATGAGGCGTATTGTCCCATGCGATTTGCTTGTAACGGAATGAACTTGTTTTGGTGCTACACTCTCGTGCCTACCAGCGTTGTTATGACCGCGGTCATGACCGAAGCCATGACCGATTTTGACCAGCTTGACCGGTCATGACGATTAGTTAAAGGTCAACGCGTGATCTAGGCGACCGAGCGCTTGTGTGGTCCGCAGCTTGAGCCCGAAGCGGACGATGTGCTCGAACATCGCGACGGGCACAGGGGAGCACCAGGTTTCTTCCGCGACGAACAACACGCCTGGCGGTGGAGACGACTTGCGCTCGCAGATCGGGTGGGCGATATCGCTTGTGATACCACTTGGCACATTGCTCTTCCTCGCGAGCCAGACGACTTTGTTTGTAGGATGAGGTCGTGTTGTCATAGTGGGTGTTCAGTGTCTTGTATGTTCGACCACAAAGTCTACATACTCCCTCCCTTCGTCATTTCAGTCGTTACAATGGCCTCGTACACTGTATCTCTTACACTTATTTCTGTCATTACTTAGCAATGAAATCATAGCTCCATGTTGCATACTCAACTGTTACTGCAAGAATACGCGTCTCGTAGGATTTTGTTCTGACGAATCATATGGTCAAGACGTGGCCACAACAAAGGCACCTGGTCGAGTTCTATTCCCTATGTACTAATTTTTGATTTGGCATCCGTAGGCGACCATTCTCATCAGTAAACCATGCAGTCCCTTAATGGCTTAGCGCCTTAGACCGCTTAGCTCTCCTGCACATAACTCGAAGTCACTCACCCTCAACTCCATAGAGTGTCTTGTTGCTGGAGCAGAGTAAAGTAAAGGTCCATTGAAAGCCTGTACAAGTGTTGTGACAGGGGCAAACGTGCCCGACGACAGCGCGGAACGTTTCCGCGCTCGCTCAACTTAATGGTCTCAACCGTGCATCTTAACTCTTACGACTTACCCACGCTTAATGGCAACTTAGTGTCACAGCCAACGAGCTGTGCCACCAAAACAAACAAGGGCAAAGCTTACTGGTGCAGAGGTTGGTGCTGAGAAGCGAAGCAACCCGAGGTGACACAGCAAGAGATGTGAAGAGGTGTATTCCCTAGACTAGAAGGGGCAGTAGAAGGTAGGGCTGCTAGCTACCTACAGAGGAGATGGGGGATCGACGAGAAGATCAAGTCTGAGGTTCCCTGCCTCAGACCCCCTACTATATATACTAATACAACGGTGCACAGACCAGGTACCTATTGACCATCGTTTGGTCAGAGTTCTCTGCCTCATGTCCTACCCTCTGACCTGCCTCATGGTGACCTTACGACTAATACCTGAGTCGTGCCGAGTCCGGACACTTCCCAATGAGTAAGCACTCCTGCTGTCACATCAGTCACCTGCCTGTGAGTGAGGATGGGCGCTCCTGGCCGTCACGAGGTCTGGGGTTCGATCCTGTCCCCTCCACTTTCCGATACGAGTTGTCCGT